AACTGTCAGTCCCGTTGTTTTCTCCTCCAGATTGTTCATCCAGCCTGTCCTATCCAGACAGGCCTGCATTTTCAATTTTTTAAGGGAGTGCCCTATTACTTTATATAGTGGTTACATATTTACAGAGCCACCCACAACTTGTGATAGTTTCAATGTCATGTTGCATCCTCTCCAGCCCCCTTCCCTGCCATTTTCCCCCACTTCAAATTGGGGTCTCATTGGCATTGTAAGATAGCATCTCATTATTTTGATTTGCATCTCCTGGATAACTGATGATCATAAGCATTTGGAACAAGCTCTTTTTGAGTTTTCAAGTTTACTGTAACTATGCTTCCATTTCCTAGGTTTGTATCTCAAGAGCTGCCTTAAAATTTTTTTAAATCTAAACTCAAGTTCATTTTATTATGTTCTAGACTTCATAAGAGTTCTATGACCCACAGGCATCTCAGAGTGCATGATGATCAACTTGAACCTTAAACTTGCATTAAGCAATGATTTAAGTTATAGAATAAGACAAGTGTCAGTTTGAGTCCTGGTTCTGCCACCTAGTAAGTGTATAAGCAAGCTGCTTAATTTCTTTAAACTTCTGTTTTCTCAAACAAGGGCACTTCACAAAATTCATGGAAAAATGGAATTAAAAGATAATAGGATTTTTCCATAAATTTTTGAAGTCCCCTCTTATGAAAAATGAAAGTAATCTCTACCTCACTGAGCTATTGTGCTGGTAGTTACCTGCATACAGTAAGTGGTAAATCATTGATTGCTCTCAGTACATATTCCTGTTTCATTGAACATTACCACTTCCAATTATTGTTTGTTAAAAGCAGTTTTAGACAGTTGTACCTTTTTAATCTTCAGATTAGTCACTAGTGTCCTATCGGTCCTCTTTTGTGATATATCTTTACTACTGTGATCTTAGTTTAACCCCTCTTTTTGGCTCTTTGTTGTTAATACTGTAGCCTCTTAACAGTTTTCCAGCCTGTATTAAATCCTCTATCCAAACTATTCTCAGCCTGCTACAGTGATTTATGTCTTGCTTAAACATCGCTTTTATCAGCAAGCTTCTGCTTATCATCCTTATCAAAGTGGTTCCCCATTGTTTTTTAACTTTTGACATGTATTTTTCTTCTTTAGTTTCCATTTGATTTTTTAACCATTTTCTTAAATCTTTGTACTGTAAGCTTAGGTTTTATTGAAGTTGCCAGGTCTTAGTGTTCACCCTGCTGCTTGTTGCATGTCTTTTTCTGAACCATCCATCACCACCTTTTGCAGTGCTTTAGTGATTCCCTTTAAAGCTGCCACCTTTCCAGTAGTTTTCTTTGACTCCAATCCCATGTCTAGGTTGTTAGGCGATAGAAAGTTGGTTCCGACGCATAACGATCCTTTGTATAAGAGAAGGAAATAGACTGCTTGTCCTGTGCCTTTCCCCAATCATAGCCAACTGTATCATCCCATCTTGGGAGGGTCTTCCTCTTTACTTCTTTTTTTTGGAGGGAGGGGGTGACCCTCTAGTCACCAAGCTTGCTGTCCATCACCAGGTATTTGAGACGATGTCTCATCATCCTTGCTTCTAAGGAGCACTTTGCTGTCCTTCCAACACAGGTTTGTTCATTCTTCTGGGACTTTATTCAGTATTCTCTGGCAACGCTAATACTCCATAGGCATCAGTTCTTCTTTGGTGGTCCTTATTTATTGTCTTAACTTTTACATGCACATGAAACTATTAAAAATACCATGTCCTGGGTCAGACCAACCTCAAAATGACATCTTGGTTCTTCAGTGCTTTAAAAAGGTCTTGTGTAGCAAATTAGCCTAATGGAATATGTTACTTGATTTCCTGACTGCTCCTTCTATGGGCATGCTTTTATCCATGGTTGTAGAATTACAAATGAAATCCTTGACACCAGCCTTTTCTTTGTTAATTGATGTTATTTATTGGTCTAGTTGTGAAGATTTTGTTTTCTTGATGGTGAGGTATAATTTATACTGAATGCAGTAATCTTCAGGTCAAATCCTTTTCACAAGTGTACTGGAAAGGATGCAACCCTGACATACACCTTTCCTGGTTTCTAAACCTCTCAATAGACCTTTGTTCTGTTTGCATAACTGCCTCTTGATATATTTACATGTTACGCATAACAGGAATATCGGCGGTCTAGGTTAGATAATCCTTTTTCTGTACTCAGGATCCCTGAGTGCATTGCTCACTCACTCACTCGCTCGCTGACTCATAGCAACTATGTAGGACTGGATGGAACTGCCCCTGTGGGTTTCTGAGACTAACTCTTTGCAGGTGTAGAACACGCCTTCTTTCTATCTAGTACAATGGTTCTCAACCTTCCTAATGCTGAGACCCTTTATTACAGTTCCTCATGTTGTGGTGACCGCCCCAACCACACAATTATTTTCGTTGCTACTTCATCACTGTAATTTTGCTACTGTTAGGAATCGGGCGACCTCTGAAAGGATAAATCCATCCCCAAAGGGGTGTTATGACCCACAAGTTGAGAACTACTGGTCTAGTAGCTGCTTGTAGTTTCTAATTACTGATCTTTATGGATTGCAGTTCACCATGTAACCACTCTACAACCAGGGCGCCATCATAACACTAGTCATAGCATTTTGTAATTGCCTTTTTCCCCACTAAGCTTCTTCAAGCGGAGGACTTTCATATCTTATCTCTAGGGCCTAGATACTGTTTGCAAACAGTCAGCTCTGAAGTGTTTGTGGAACAGATGCATTTGTTGAACGAGTTGGGTTTTTTGTTTTCGTTGTTTGCTTTTTGAGAAATTTTAGATGTAAAATGATTAAGGTCTTTAAAAAAAAAATGATTAAGATCTTAAAGTATCCCATTTCTCTTTTTCCCCTCATTTGAAAGTTAAAAGTGTCTTTATTTTGTAGTTTTTTCTTAACTTTTTCCCCATTTCCACTTCATATCCACATTTGTAGAATGAATTGCCCTACTTTCTGATTTCCCACTTACATCTGTTCCCCATGGTGCCACGGAAAATGTTTTCATCAACTCTCTCATCCTGTTTCATTGCCTGTGTTCCCTGAAGTAGACAGCACCCTCCCCCAGTAGCCCAAGTTGTCTTTATCGTTCAGTCTGCCCTTCTATTTCCATTCTTGCCCTTAAAGTCTATTAATATTAGGTTCATTCTACCTCCTTAGTATCTGTAGAATCCACCTATATTGTATTTATTACCACAGTTGAATTCTACCAATGTCATCAGCCTCCCTATTGGTTTAGGAACTCCTAAAACTCTTAAAATCTTTACAAAGCTCTTCCTGATGCAAGTCCCTGTTTATTCACAGTAGTGTATTTTACTATATTAAAATGATTCAGATTCTTTCAGGATACATACATATTTTAATGAAAGTGTAGGTTTTATTACCAACAATGAGACTCGTACTTGGAGAGAGAATGGAAGAAATGTGGATATTTTAATTCCTAGATTAAAATATTGTCTGTGACATATTTCAGGCGAAAGACCAGGCTTTCTTATTCCCTGTAAAGAGTTACAGTCTCAGAAACCCATGGAGGCAGTTCTACCCTGTCCTATAGGGTCAGTAAGGGTTGGAATCAGTTGATTGCAATGAGTTTGGTTTGGGGAGTTTTGACGTATTTAACTACTGGGTTATAAAATATTTAAATGTAACTTCTTTTCTTGCAGGTATTTATAACAACAATGATGTAGCAGTATCATTTCCAAATGTAGTATCTGGCTCAGGATCAAGTACTCCTGTCTCCAGTTCTCATTTACCTCAGCAACCTTCTGGTCATTTGCAACAAGTAGGAGCTCTTTCTCCCTTAGCCACATCTTCTGCAACTACTGCTGTTGCTACAACTCAGGTAAATGATAGTTAACTATTGTTGTATAGGTGGTTTTATTTTATTTAATGTTTGTTGTTGGGAATATACACAACAAAAACATTTCAAGTTTATACACGTACAGTTCCATTAAATTGATTGTGTGTCATCTTTTTTTTTAATAAATAATTTTATTGGGGGCTTGTACAACTCTTATCATCCATCCATCCATCCATCCATCCATCCATCCATCCATCCATCCATCCATCCATCGTGTCAAGCACATTTGTACATTTGTTGCCATCATCATCAAACATTTTCTTTCTACTTGAGCCCTTGGTATCAGCTCCTCAGTTTTCCCCCTCTCTTCCTCACAAACCCTTGATAATTTATAGATTATGATTATTTTTCCATGTCTTACACTGTCCGATGTCTCCCTTCTCCCACTTTTCTGTTGTCTGTCCCCCAGGAAGCGGAGGGGAGGGGGTTATATGTAGATCCTTGTGATCGGTTCCCCCTTCTCCCCCACCTTCTCCTTCCCCTCCTGGTATCTCTGCTCTCATTATTGGTCCTAAGGGACTTATTTGTCCTGGATTCCTTGTGTTTCCAGCTCTGATCTGTACCAGTGTACAGATTTGTGAGGTAGAATTGGCATCATGATAGTTGGGGGGAGGAAGCATTAAAGAACTAGAGGAAAGTTGTATGGTTCCTTGGTGCTATACTGCAATCTGGCTGACTCATCTCCTCCCCGTGACCCTTCTGTAAGGGCAAGTCCAGTTGCCTACAGATGGGCTTTGGGTCTCCACTCCACATTCCCCTTCATTCACAATGATATGATTTTTTTGTTCTTTGATGCCTGATACTTGATCCCTTTGACACCTCGTGATCACGCAGGCTGGTGTGCTGCTTCCATGTGGGCTTTGTTGCTTCTGCGTTAGAATGTCATCTTTTTTTTTTTTTAATCATTTTATTGGGGGCTCATACAACTCTTATCACAATCCATATATACATCAATTGTGTAAATCCATCTTTATTTCTTAAAGTAAGTTTGATTAGAAGAAAAATAAGTAACATAGGACTTTCTGTAGGGATTTATAAAACATCTCAATTTGCATATAGTTGCTATTATAAATGATAGATATTTTTACATGATAGCTAAGAGAGGTGGAGGCACCAAGTGGGTACATGTGTATAATTGAGTCTAAGTTTCTAATTTTGGTGTAGACTAGTAATGAGTGGTTGAAGGACGTGGGGGAGGAGGGGGTGTCTCTTGTATATATTCTTTTCTTAAAAACAAGGATTCAACAAAATTGAACCAAGTTCTTAAGTTTTAAAATTATGCAAATAATATATGAATATCGACTGTATAGACTAAAAATTATGAGAGAATATATGACATATTTCCTTAAATACTACATTAATTTCTTCCTACTGGGGAAGAATGTTTGTAAATATTAGATATGTAGATTATATAGAATTTGCCATGGTTACCTTTTTACTACGAATTTAAGACTTAGTAGGTGATCTAGTCTACCAAAAATTCAACCAAACCCACTGTCACGGAGTCAGTTCTGACTCTTAGTGACTCTATGTAGTTGTGTTAGTCTGGGTACTTTAGAGAAACAAATCCACAGAAACTCATATATAAGAGTTTTATATAAAGGTTAAGTGCACTTCAAGAAAACATCCCAACCCAGTGCTCCCCAAGCCCACAAGTCCAACATTAACCCATATATCTGACACCAATCCACAAAGTCCTCCTCCATCTCACAGAACACACACAATGAGGCCGACTGTAGGAGAAAAGCCAAATCAGTGAATGTGTAAGCATCTCAGCACTGGTAGGGGTCTACACACGGCTGCTCCAGCACCCAGGGCTGCATAGGGATAGGTCCATGCGGCTTCTCTTGGGGGATGTCTTGCAGGAAGTGAGCCTTGCCAGCTGAAGGAGGGAACTGGCTAAGGCAGCTGCATCCTGGTCTGACCATCAGAAAGCAAGAGACCCGAGAACTAGAAAGGCGAGGCTCACCAAGCCATTTATCCCTCCACCCTTCAATTAACCCCACATGTGTTTATCGGCCAGGTTGGCACAATAAACTAACTACCTCAATAGTTTTTCTGAGACTGTAAATCTTTAGGGGGCCGGTAACCTTATCTTGCTCCCTAGGAGTAGGTGGTAGGGCTGAACTGCTGACTATTGTGGTTAGCATACTGGTGAAGTGCCTTAAAAGCCACATCAGACATCTGACCTTAGTAGGGGCAAGGAGAGTCCAACAGTACACCCGCCTAAGACTGTTTGCCACAAAGCAGAGGTCAGATACTCCTCCATCCTCCTCCTTTCTTTATTCGATTCTGTTCCTTCCAGGACACTCATTTTACAATAATTCACTTTTTAAAGGTTACACAGAATTCACAGAGAATACTCACGATTATGGGGGAGGTTAACAGGTGACCATAACTCAGGATCAGAACACCTTAAGGACACAGTTCTTGACCCACAGCACCACCTCTTCTCAGCCAGCAGCCAAATTTCAGCTCTTCAGCGTCTCAGCCTTGGGATTCCTTTGCCTCTGACTTGTTCTGTGGATTGGGAAGCCATCACTCAGCCTCACAATCTTGGTCCTTTTTCTGTACACTGCCTCTTGGTGTCATCATTGTTCCTTTGCTCTGTCTCATCGCAGACACTGGCGTCTGTAGTGCCGCATCAGGCAGGGAGCTTGCGTGTGTTCCACTGGTGGCTCTTCTTTCTTGATGGTCATGGGTTGCTTCCTCTGCTTCTGAGATTCCTGCTACTGCTAGAGTAACGACATCACTGACCATTCCCTATGTTAGGGTTTTGCTCACTGCATGCTTCTACTCTATCACTTGGTGAAGGTTGCATGCTGTTGTTTGGTCGACTCATAGTGATCCCATGTACTACAGAATGAAACACCGCCCTCTCCATTGCTATCATCACAGCTGTTCCCTGTGTTTGAACCCATTGTTGCAACCATTTGTCACCCTTTCTTATTAAGGGTCTCCCTTTTTTTTTTTTTTTTGCTGTCCCTCTACTTTACCAAGCATTATGCCCCTTTTAAGGGACTGATCTCTCCTGATAACATGTCAAAAGTACATAAGCATATTCTGGCTTTCCTTATCCTAAGATAGAGCTATCCAAGACGTGGGTAAAGAAGAGCCATATATTTAAGCAGTTTTACTTTACCACACGGCCCAACACACAACCCACTGTGTCACCAGGACTCCAATGACCTAATCTATAGAAATGTGTTAGAAGCAATAGTCAAATCTGAAAAAAATTGTAATCTTCAGTTTTATAAATAAGACAGTAAGTGAGTAGAGTTATAGGTGCACATTTATCCTTTTTCCATTGTCTACTTCCCCATACGTGATAAATTTAGATTGAAAATATGCATTCAAATACATATTTTAAATCAGTTTGTACGTAACATTTTTTCATTTTTTCCCAAGCTCTAGTACTGAGGCTCTCGAGTTTAGGAAAATGAATCTAACAGTGACAAATAGCTAATTGTTAATAGTAGTTATTTTCAAGTTTCCCTAAAACTTTGTGTTCCTAATTCTCATTGTATAGCCCTGTGTGCATCGGTATACATACTGTTTTATTATGCTTCAATGTAGTTCATGTCGCATGTAGTTGAGTTTTTCAGTAAGTTGAAGTTTGTGGCAATGCTGTGTGGAGCCCATCTATTGGCATGGTTTTTTGTACAGCGTGTACTCACTAATGTGACTTTGTCCCATTATGGTAATTTGTACAATATTCCAAAATTTTTTCATAATGTTTTTATCGTACTCATAATAAAATGTACTCTATTTATATGCACATAATTTCCGTATACACTGGGAAGCAAAAATTCATGTTACTTTTATAATGCTTGCTTAATTGTGGTGATCTGGTGCTAGTCTGAGATGTATGGTTGTGTATATTTTTTTCTTAGTATTCTGGAAACTGTACCTCAAAGCATAGCATGAGTTGATTTTTTTTTCTCACGCCTCTCTCCCGCATCCCCGTCCCCCGTGAGGTGATTTTTAAAGTGTGTGAATGGTGCAGTAAAAGCAGTCAGCGATCATAATTAAGCCCAGAATTAGAATGATGAACACAGAAAATTAATGGTATAATTAGTAGTATACTCTTTAAAAGTGAAAATTAGCTATTTGGTGAAACTAACCACTAAAGGGGACCTTGACAAGTTTTGGAGAGTTTTTGTTTCTCTCATTTCACTAGAAAAGTGAGGTCATCGGAATAATAGGCCTGCTGTTAGAGAAGGTGAAAGGATAAATGAGAAAATGACTCTTATAAATAGTTTTATCTCTTTTAATTAAGTGTAACCATATGTTGTTGATAGCTTTATATTCTTGGACAAAGTTTCACATTAACATTTTCAATGTGTATTTTTCTCTCTTTTTTTTAACAGTCTTGTTTTAATTACACCCTGGTTAATTCTCAGCTGAATTAAGCAAAAATCGCTCATTTCTTCTCATTCATTATGTTTGTAGGTTTTAAGGGTTGGCATTAGTGGGGTGGATGCGGGAAATGTGGTGAAGAGAAATTTATAGCCAGAGGGAAAATTCCATTTAACATGTGACTCAACTGAAGAACAAAGAAATCATAGTTGCAAGTAATCCAGGATTCAGTCCAATTAAGATCTTTACTGTTTATCCCCCACCACGTTTCAGTAAGATGGGTCTCTTATAAATGCAATCCTCAAGTTAGACCCAAATGCTGCATGCTGAGACAACTGCATCCATGTTTCTGTCTAGCAGTTAATGCTTTCTGCCTTGAAGTGGAAGCTGATTTAGCCTTCCTTATCTGATGCTGCTGTAGCAACCATCAGTCTCCAGGCAACTGAGGCACGTTAGCCTCTCAGTTGAACTGAGTGCAGAACTACTTTAATTTAGCTGCCTGAGACAATAGTAATGGTGTTGAACTTGGAAAATGTGAACATTTCTAGGAAGCGTGCAAGGGAAAGGACACAAAAATGTGTAGATTAAGTGGAATGTTTAGTTTAGGACTCTTAAAATTGGGG